GGGCCACCTGAATGTCTTCTTTGGTAAAGTGTCTGCTCATGTCCTCTGCCCATGTTTTAATTGGATTGTCTTTTTGTTAAGGTATTAAAGTTTTCTATAAATTTTAGAAAAGCAATAGCCCCTTTTCTGGTATGTTGATAATTTTTTTTTTCAATCTGCAGTTTCTTTTGGTGAAATCTTTTGATGTGCATTAAGTGTCTAATTTTTAGAAGTCTCCAGTCATCTATTTTGCCTTCTGGTGTTTGTGCATTTAGTTGTGTTCAATAGCTTATTTATGCCATGAATTCAAGCCCTGAAGTTGTCCCTATTTTTTCTTTGATAGGAGTCTTTACGGTTTTATGTTCAGGTTTTTGATCCAACTTGTTTGCTTTTGTGTATGGTGTGAAATATGGGTTCTGTTTCATATTTCTGCAAGTGGGTATCATTTTGCTAGCATCATTTATTAAAGAGATTATCTTTCTCATTTAATGAGTTTCGATCCATATGTGCACAGATCTACTTCTGAGTACTCAATTCTGTCCCACTTATCTATGTGTCTGTCATTGTACCAGTACCAGGCTGTTTTAACATGACTATGCAGTATGTTTTGAGATCAGGATTGTGATGCCTTCTACTTTGTTCTTCTTTAGTAGTGCTTTGCTTATCTGGGATCTCTTTCCTTTCTGTAAAAAATCAGCAGTTAGTTTTTCCATATGTTGCTGTCCTTAATTGATAATTTTGATATAAATTTATAAATCACTTAATATTCTATTTATAAATTTATAAATCATTGAATACTCTATTTTTCTAAGCTAATTTACTGCTTAGGAAGTACCCCCCTGTATTAATTACTGATAGCTCATGTAATATTTTACTTTTAAATATGTACACAAACATTTCTAAATTTCTAAAAATTTTGATGAGTGAAAAACTGCCTTAGTCTTCTAGACTGCTTACAAAACTCACTTAAGATGTTCTCATCTTCTACACTAGACATACGATCACAACAAATGTGAACAGGTGGATGATAGTGACTTCATACAAACTAAGCCTATGAAAGTTACTGAACTTACATTCCATATCTAATGAAAAGGGGTACTACTACTTACCTTAAAATTTTTATTAAAGAGAATTACATGAGGTTTACCACCTAGGAAGGATCTTATTTAATAATATGCCCTCTTAACCAAATCTCTATAGCATCAGCTGAGATTTAGTTCATATACTAGTTCTGTTCAGAAAAAGTGTTGAGATGTAACTTTTTAATGCACATATGGACCAACAAAAATTTTTTTAAATATTTAATTATACCTTTTTTTAAAGTATCTAATTCCATAACTTGCAAGTATAGTTGTCATTTATGTTGTTGAAAAAAGATATTTGTAATGAATAAGTCATCAGTTTTGCAAAATTCCATCATATAATCACCAATGTCATATTTTCTAACTACTGATGCTTTCCCATTCCATTGTGCTTATGAGGAACCTGTCCATAGACCAAAAGGCAGTAGGTCAAACAGAACAAGGTGATAAAGCATAGTTTAAAACCAGGAAAAGTGTGTGTCAGGGTTGTATCCTTTCATCATAAGTATTCAATCTGTATGCTGAACAAATAATCCAAGAAGATAGACTATGTAAAGTTGAGTGTGCCATCAGGATTCCAGGAAGACTCATTAACAGCCTGCAATATGTGGATGATACAACCTTACTTGCTCAAAGTAAAGAAGACTTGAAGCACTTACTGATGAAAATCAGTGACTACAGCCTTAAGTATGGATTACACCTCAAAATAAACAAAAATCTTCATAACTGGACCAATAAGCAACATCATGATAAATGGAGAAAAGATTAAAGTTGTCAGGGATCTCAATTTGCTTAGATCCACAATCAACACTCATAGAAGCAGCAATCAAGAAATCCAATGATGTATTGCATTGGACAAACCTGCTGCAAAAGACCTGTTAAGAATAAGAAACATGTTAAAGAGCAAAGATATCCCTAAGTGACAAAGAAGACCAAGGTGCTTCTGACCCAAGCCATGGTACTTTCAATCAACTCAAATACATGTGAAAGCTGGACAATGACTAAGGAAGACCAAAGAATTTATGCATTTAAATTATGATGTTGGTGAAGAATACTGCATATATTACAGACAGCTAGAAGAAAAAATAAATCTGCCTTAGATGAAGTACAGAGGGAATGCTCCTTAGAACAAGGATGACAACACTTCGCCCTTTGGTCATGATGTCAGGAGGAATTAGTCCCTGGAGAAGGATATCAAGTATAGCAACAACTGTGAGGATGGCAAAGGACTGGGCATCATTTATTGTACACAGTGTCATTATTAGTTTAAGGAATTTAGCAGGCTAGTATCTGGCATTAATAATCTTTATTCTATTAGCATAATTTTCCACATGGAATAGAAAATAAAGATTTACAACTATAATCACAATTATCAGGAGTAGATCAAAGCACTGAGCAAATAGACTGACAAATATAAAAAAAGTTTATTAAAAAATAACATATGTAAACATCTTTCTCAGTCATAAGGCTTTGTAATACAGTATACTAGGACCATACCTTAAAGCTCTGCAGTGGGAGCACCTTAATGTTGAGAATTGTAATCAGCTTAATGCATCTTTCAGTGAACTATTAAATCTCTATGGAAATAAATAACCAGATTTTGCCAAGTACACTAATACACACAGTTGCAAATGTACAATACATCTCAGCAAAAATAATGAGCTACAGTAACATGTCAGAGTGAATCCATATACTGCAATTATCTTTTTAATACATTTTCATTTTAAAATTCATTAGGATGTACAGTTGACTAAAGTAATGTTAGAGGGGAGCAGGAATACAGCAGAGATGAAGAATCACACCCACACCTCTGTCATATATACACATACACACAGACACATGCATGGGCTGTTTTGGCAGAAGCAAAATTGAGGACAGTTTCTACAATTTTTCTTCCATGTATTTATTAGTATTTTAGACACGCATTTCCTTTACTTTTAGCTGGAAGTTACATGCCTCCAAATGACTAGATATGAAGTAACCCACCATAATTTCAAATATGGTAACATTTTGAGGAAGCCAAATCTCAACTTTATAATTCAATAACCACTGAAAGTGAAGCCAAAGCATAGAATGGACAATAATATAACAAAGCTTAATAAATACCTGAGATTTTGCTGCAAGAAGCTGAAACATAAGATTGTTTTCTTTGGGCAAAATATGTTTGCTGTTAATACAATCTGTAGGCATACCTAATAATGACAGAAATAGTCTGAAAGATTCAAAGAATTTTCCTTTTCATATGCTACAGATGAGGTATTTTAAATTTTACACAATATTTTGATTTATTTTGAATTTGCTAAAATTTCACTTTATTCAAGAAACCTTAAATGAAAATTTAAATATTTATTGGCTGTCAACTGAACATTCATATTTTAGTGTAAGGAACAACAGAGATTTTAAAAGAAGAAACCCAGGAAAATTCTACAAACTCCTGGATAGCAATAATGCAGCTTAATAACTCAGAAGTTTATTTTGTATCATATACATACAATTTATAAAATTATTCATAAACAATTTTAAATCACTTAAAATTCTGGTCTGCTATTCAAGGATCCATTTTATAACCCATTCTTTTAAAAAAATGTATAATATACTTGTCATCTTATCACATCAGCTTATCAACATGTGTCTAGCATTTATCCACAATTAATGAAATGTGAAATAACTACAAAGTACTTAAATTCTAACAGTACTGTTTCTTGACTTGGCAGTGTTTCTAACCATCAGATGTTAAGATAATTATGCATTTTAATAGAGGCAAAATTAAATAACTCAAATGTTTATAATACATGATATCTGTGAAAAGAGATTAAAATATGTGTAACTTTAATGTTTAAAAACTGTACTGCAAAATAAAAAAACGTTTTACTTCTAGATACCAAATGTAATATGGCTACAGATGAAACAAGAACCCTTTCCACAGGAAGCACCTATAATGCAGATTAGCCTTGCTCAAATGTATATAATACGGTCTTAGCCAAATGATCTATTTTTAAAAAATATATTTTGAAGTTCTAATGGATAAAAATCTTACATTCACTAAACCTTTTTACGTTACATTCAGTAAAATGTTCTCAATAGAGAAATGTCATTGCACAATTTAGATGAGAATTGGTAATATTTATGCATCATAACCCTATCGCTAAATTTGAAAAAAAAAACAAAAAACAAACCCAAACTCACTGCCATCAAATCAATTCTGACTCAGAGTGACTCCCTTTGGGTTTTTGAGGTGGTGAATCTTTATGGAAGTAGATTGCTCGGTTTTCCTTCCTCAGAGTGGCTGGTGGGTTTGAACTGCCAACTTTCTGTCTAGCAGTCAAATCCTTAGGCACTATGCCACCAAAGAAAAGTTTAGGTAGTTTAAATAGGATTCTGTATCTATTCCAGTCATCAGATTTTTCTTTTAATAGACACCTTTTCCTTTTTGATATCACATTATTCATACCAAGAAACTCATAGCTCTTTCTTGGCTTTTTGCTACATAAAAAATCAAAAGAACAAAAAAGGAGAGGAATGAGAAGAGGAAGGAAAAAAAGGAGAGGAGGAGGGAAGGAAGGAGGAAAGAAGGAAAAAAACAAAAATCATGTCCATCATTACAATTTATGTTGTGTAATGATAGACAAGGACACAAAGCAAGCTTTAAAATTGTACTTAAGGTAATTCTACCCAGCACAGTTTTACACTGCTCTACATTTCTTGTTTTATACTTTTGTGTATTTCAAGTAACTGTGCATAAATCCAGTGGAACAATCAATATAACAGTAGACAGTGAACAGCAATCATGTACATTTTTGAGAAGTCAGACATACTGCATTACTACTTTGATGATTTGGCCACAGCTTTTTGAAAACACAGCAGCACAAAACAACAATTCAAAGGTTTTATTTTGTTCACTTTAAAAAAAAAATCCTTTAACAATACAAGGCACTTAGTTTAAGACAGAAATTCTTTCTCCAGCTCATATATAGATGGCCGGCTGGTTTTACTCTTCATTCTGCACAAAGGCACTGTGTAGTCCCTGGGCTGACCTTCTATGTCTGCATCCAGTAAGGAAGGCATGTGCAATTCAGTTCTCTCCTTGGCACCAGGAAAGCAGTGAGGGGTTGGTCCTGGGTGACCCACTAGGCTGTCTGTCTGTGCAGGCAGAGACTCTCTTCCCCATGGGGAAGCCTGCAACTGACCCAATCGACTTCTGAGGGAGAAAGGGCGAGGCCGAGGCACCACTCTTTGTGTTGTAGGTGAGCCCTTACTTGCCAGGTTATTGTGAGGAGCAGAAGGGGTTTGCAGCGATCCTAAAACCTGCTTAAGCGGCAGTTCAGAGGCTTCAGTGGCTGAGATAATAGTTGTACTAGCTGGTTGAGAAAGCAAACAGTGTGCAATTAGAAAGACAATGACTTCTAAAGAATGACTATTAAGAAAAATAACTATGATGACTATTCAACAGGTAATCTTTAAGCTTTAAGAAAAAAAAATACAAATGCAAATTTTATAAAACTGTTAGGATATGATTATTTTATGAAAAAGTGCTATAACGCTGGTATGAGTACTTCAAACTACGGAAATTATATGGAAGTAGGACAAAAAATCTTCAGTCAGCATAAAACCAAAAACCAAACCAGTTGCCATCACATGAATTCTGATCGTGGCAACCTCTTGAGTCAGACTAGAACTGTGCTTGCTCCATAGGGTTTTCGTGGCTATGACCTTTAGGAAGCAGATCGCTAGACCTTTGTTCTGAGATGCATCTGGGTGGGTCTGAACTGTCAACTTTCCAGTTAGCCCAGCACTTACCCATTTATACCCCTTTCACAGTGCACAAGCTAATGATGACTGTAGCTGTCTTACGAATACAGTAGAACTGGTGATGTAGTGGTTAAAGTATTCAACTGCTAACTAAAAGGTCGGCAGTTTTAATCCATCAGCCTCTTTTGTGGGAGAAAGATGAGGCAGTCTGCTTCCATAAAGATCTATAGCTTTGGAAACCCTATGGGGCAGTTCTACTATGAGTCAGAACTGACTTGATGATAGTAGACTTGATTTTTTGGGGTTTTACGAATAGGGTAAATTTCAAAATGGATTATGCTAAAATAAATTTAAGACTTTTAGAAATTACAGTAAAAAAAAACCTTTACTTTTAGATTACGATTTGGAAAAATTAATGAAAATAGGGAGGCAGTTAGTTGTTTCCATGTTACCCTTTCTCTTCTTTGTTCTCAAAAAGAGACTTCTTACCATTTTAGCAAATAATTATTGACTCATACATAAGAGAAACAGATGGCTGTTTATGTGATAATTGTGCTAGGATTTCTGCTTGAGTAATTATAATTACTAATACTCTAATGTATTGATAAAAGACACTGAACAATAATCTAAAAATAAAATCTATTATGAGAAATGTCTAGGTGTAGTACTTGAAGAGAAAAGGTAGAGGGAAAGATAAAAGGGCATAAAAGCAGTTCTGGTTTTAATGTAACTTTTTATAGCCAACCCTTGCATAGCATTTTACAAATTAAAAAGAATTTTCCATATACATTACTCATGAGCTATATGGGATAGATGTACTTATCTTCATACAGAACAGTAGTAGTCAATCCCAAATAGCCCTTGGTAAGCCATTACATTTTTACCATGATCCTAAAAGTGGTAAAGATTAGGTAAGTGTATTATTTTCATCTCCATTTTACAGAAGGAAAAATTGAAGCACAAAATGGTTAAATGATTTGCCTAAAGTCACACACACAAAAGTCACAGAGCTGAGATTTGGGCCCAGACAATTTCTATATTCTTAACTATCACACTAGGATGGCTCTCAAGGCAATAAAATGAGGAAGGAGATTAAGCAATTTCCCCAAGATAACAACCTAATTAAATGGCACAACTAGAACTTGAACCTTAGTCCCACAACTTCAGATCATCTGCTCTTACTAAGTAGTTGTGTGCCCCCTTAAGAGTCTGTATTAAAGTGCCACGTAACCACAGAGATTTAAAAAGTAGGTACCACTCTGGCACAAAATGGAATAATCCAATTACATAATACTCATAGAATGAGTATTAGAGTAGGAAAGAACCTAGATGTGAGGAAGAAGAAGAAATCATAATTCAGTCAAAAGATCCTTGGTTTAAATCCTGACACCCTATTATATTCACTGTGAAATCTTGGTTAAGTCATTAATTTTCCTTGAGTTCTAATTTCTTTATCTCTCAATTGAGGACATACACATAATATAGTTGCTATTAAGAGAGACAATTCATAAGAAAGTGCTTTATAAAGTTCTATAGAAATACTAGTGGTTGTCTTCTAATCAAGTCCTCATTTCAAAGATCAGAAAAATTATAAAATTTCTTTTAATTTTTGAATTTCTCCATCTGGACATGTATTTCATTGAAGGGTTTGGTGTACTGTAAGTGTAAATAAGGGTAATACCTGCTGAACTCAATCTTGGCATAATTTGAGCAGTGACACAGTGTAAACTAGGAGACAACAGCTTTCACTGGAGGTAAGAGGTCCGACCAGCTTTAGTATTAGCTCTCCCGCTCATTTTTGGTTTAGATTCAGGCAAATGACTTCTCTTTTACATTACATGAGGGAGCTAAGTCAGCTTTCTTCACCTTCTCTTTCTGTTTTAATATACTATTATAGATTTAAGTTGTCTTACCTGCCATGGAGTCAGCCCTGATACATGGTGACCCTTTGTAAATGGGATCAGACCACTGTGATCCACGGTGTTTCACTGGCTAATTTTCAGAAATACACCACCAGGCCTTTCTTCCTAGTCCATTTTAGTCTGGAAGCTCTGCTGAAACCTGTTCAGCATCACAGCAGCACACAACCCTCATGGACAGAAAGGCAGTGGCTGGCTTGAGGTGCATTCGTTGGGCACAGAACCTACATGGAAGGTAAGAATTCTACCACTAAATAAATCAGCACTGTCTACACAGATTTAAGTTACTGACATGTAACTATACTTTCCCAGAATCCAAATTGTAGTTAAATTAAAATCGAATAAAAAAGGAGAGAAGGGTAAGAATCAAACATCTTTTGTGAACAATAAACACAAATTTTGAAATATATTCACTTCAAAAAAAAGAGAAATCAGATATACATACAATTTTACACTCTACATTCTACAATTTCTACTCAAATGACAGAACCTACTTTGGGTCTGAGAAGCAATTCCATCAGACATGGTCCGTCTGTGATGTGATGCTCTTCCTTTTGAAGATGCATAGTAAGGCACGTTCCCATGTGTTTGCTTTATAGGGGAAGGAAACTGTTTTTTCAGTAGGCTGTGATCACTGTCAGAAATTGACACTGAGGCTAGCTCATGACAACTTTCTTGGATAGCAGAACAAAGATGTGGAGCAGGAATCTGTGTGTGACAGGTGACATGTGTGCTACCCACAGACACGTCCTCACTGTCAGTCTGCAACAAGCACTTTGTGGAAAGTGAAGGCATGGACAAAAGATTCACAGCACTTGACAGTGGGAGTGAGGGTTGGCTGTTAGTTTCCTCTCTCTTAGAGTACAGTCTTGTTGGAGGACTGGCACTTCTGTGAGACTTGGAGGCACGCTGGAAGATTCCCTCTCGCTTTTTCTTTTCTTCCTTCAGCATCAGTTCTTCAGAAGCCTGTGTCTTACCAAGCTCTCTAATATCCAAGCCCAAAGCCACAGATGCCAGAAGCATAGTGCACCCATACAGAGCAGATTCTGTTTTCATTTTCTGGGGTACTCTACTCAGACTATTGGTAGGAGTCACCTGAGGAGTGCTAAAGGCAGAACTTGCTGAGCCCCCATCCTCAAAGCTTTTGATTGCCACAGCATTCTCTCTGTGGTCATCTCTGCAAAGAGGTAGATCGACGTAAGCATGATTAGGCATTTTTATTTGCTTTGGTTTTCTGTTTTCTAATCCATCAAGCGATAGCTTTGGCTCTTCACAAGCACCTAAATAAAGACAGAAATATATACACTGTAGTCTATTTTTCAGTACAAATTATTTAAACTATATTATAAAACTAAATTAAAATCTACTAAGTAACTATTCTAAAACAAAATTTATGAAGTCCTTTTCAGTCTGGCAAATGATTCATCTGGAAGTCTAAGGAACTAGGCCCAGTGCCTGACTGCTCAAGGCTACCCACAGACGAACCAGAGGGTAAGTCACCTTCTGGCTTCTATTATTCAGGAGATGGTCCTTCATTGGCATGAATAATAGAAATTAGTGTAAGAGCAAAGTCATCAAGATACAAATATCCACACACATATACATGAGCACTATTATATGTTATGCAAAATATGTCTTCCTTGGATCTAAGAAAGTGTCAGATTCCATTATCATAGCTAACATCAGCCCCAGGAATACAGGTGAGGAGAGATAACTCAGGGACGCCCAAAGAAGCAGGCCAGAAGAGCAGGAGAAAGGGGATTAAAAGCCAGGAAGCCAGACAAAGGAACAGTCAGCCACAGGGACCC